TGTAGACGACTACGTAGGTTGCACATACTATTTGGCACGGCTGAGTTTCATAACGCACAGCTACTTCAACCGGGGAATGCTCGTGGCTCTAATACAGCTCAGCTCAGACTCGCGAAGGTACGTCTCCGCGACAGACTGCGCACGTGTACGCCCGCTCAGACTCGGACATGAGCTTGTACTCGCGCTCACTTATATTGTCACAATCTGTGAAAGTGACACGAAAAGCACAGTTATGGTTAACTGACAGTGGTAGACAGCGACATGAATGGTACTTTGCCATATTAGTTGTGGCCAACTGATAGTGGTAGGTATGCTTAGTAAGGGAGACGATCATATACTACATGCGCGCGCGTGTAAGTACATGTGGGTCTGAACGATCTGTTGTACACCACTGCAGCTGTGACATATTTACATACTAATTAATGCACTCACACACTTACACATTTGGTGACGTACACACACACATATATATACATATCTATATATATATATATATATAAACATACATATATACACATACACACCCACACACACATAAACATATATATATATATACATACATACATACATACATATACATACATACATATATACATACATACATACATACATACATACATACATACGTATATACATACATACATACATACATACATACATACATACATACATTTGCTCTAGTAATCAATCCTGCATATATATAGGTCGTTGTACTGCTAGCATATGTTTTCAAGTATCAGGCATTCGCCAGACATCATGATGTGTGCTCGATTTACGAGTGTGATACTTTCATAAGCGAAACGACGTCTCACCTATGTGTATCCATTGGTCGCATCGATCGCAGCACACCATGGGTGTCAGATTCTCTGAGTTTCGGTAGACCTTCAAACAAATGGGGCAGAAATTGCCACTACGGAATAGCCTACAGGAAGATGTGAGAAGTTCATCAGTACACACACAGCCACCCAAACAGTGCGCGGGTTGTATACCCGACAGAGTTCTGTGTGATTGAGCAGGGCACCATTTTAAAACAGCTACGTATAGAAACTAACATACATATGCAGAAACTATAATATGCACATGCAGAAACTATAACATACATATGCAGAAACTATAACATACATATGCAAAAACTATAACATACATATGCAGAAACTGTAACATACATATGAAGAAACTATAACATACATATGCAGAAACTGTAACATACATATGCAGAATCTATAACATATATATGCAGAAACTGAAACATACATATGCAGAAACTCTAACACACATATGCAGAAACTGTAACATACTTTGAACAGGCCAGGCAAAGGGTCTGCAAGAACACCGGGTCAGTGGTATCAGTGCCTTTGGAGTACTGTGTTTTGAGTGGGATACAAATGACCAAGCAATTATCACCTGATCACGTCGTACAGTCCGACAGCTTAGGTTGGGACATTTCAAGCAAAACCATATGTAAAAGCTCAGTAGAACCAAGTAAAACCATAGGTAAAAGCTCAGTAGAACCAAGTAAAACCATATGTAAAAGCTCAGTAGAGCCTGCGCTTACTTTCCAGTCCGTCTCCTTGCCTTTGTATGTGCCAAACATCAAAATTCTATGTCTATGTGCATGTGCAAGTTCATGTGCATAAGTATGTTCATGTGTATGTTCATGTGTATGTTCATATGCATGTGCATGTTCATGTGTATGTTCATGTGTATGCGTATGTGTATGTGTATGAGTATGTATGTATATGTATATGTGTAAGTATATTTATATGAGAATGTATAAGTGTATGTATATGTATATGTGCATATGCACGTATATATTGTGTGCCTGTAGAAGCAGTCATCTATATATGAAACAATCAGTAAACTACAATGGAAGAACCAGTAGGCCACATTGTATGAATTTATATCAATCAGTAGACTACAGTGTAACCTATGTCAGAGAAAGACCAGGATTCTGCCCAGAACACACGGCAGGACCTTACATACACAACTCAGTACATCGGCACACCACTCCGCCGATTAAGTACAGCCAACACGTGGCACTCTCCGCAATACAATCACCGAGTGGAACGCTTTGGTTACGACTTCACAGTTGGTACCATCACACCAGGGCATGTAGTATAGTTAAAAACTGTATCACTTCATTTCAGCGTCTTTCATATCGTACGGTCGGCTTACAGATACTACACACCTGCATCGAACCCAATGCCAAAGGATTAACGAACTATTGCACGCATACGTTCCTTGAGATCAGGATAAGTGAACTGTACCTCATGTTTCCAGCGCATGTTTGCGCTCGCGCCCTCACCTGGCTGTGTCTTCCCACATGACGCACAGACACCACAATCGTCACAAACCCATCTGCAAGAAACAAGAGAAGTGTAAGGATTAGTAGTATGCGGTAACTGAGAATTATTGTATGAAACAATACGACCCCCCCCCACACACATATATATATATATATGTATTTATATATATATATATATAAACATGCATATGTATA